CATCTTTTAAGCAGCCAGTGCCCTGGCTCTAATTTTTGGGGTGCTGGCTCTGATTTTTTTGATCGTCGAAGCTTGCAAAATTCTATACCAGCTTCCAAAGGCGGCTTTCATCCTCATATCACCTCCAAGAAAGCCGACCAGATAAGGACCGTCTTCGAGTGATTGACCCGACGCGCTGTATACACAGCCGCAAATGGCACTACCCTACCCACCCATAGAGGGGTGCTCGAAAAACATCCTCTTTCCAATCACGCGTCGGGTCGAGTGATTGACCCGACGCGCTGTATATACAGCAGCAAATGGCACTACTCCACCCACCCATACAGGGGTGCGCGAAAAACATCCTCTTTCCTGGTTTTTAGTTTCGGATCTTTCTCAGTCGATCGGGTCGCTCCGTATATTAATTTTAATTCTTCTCCTCCGTACCCACATTAACCCTTACCCTGGTCCCTGTACTTGCTCTCAATGCAAACAAAAAACTTTATTGGATCCACTAGAGCCACTTGTTTTGTTGGATCCACTTTAGATAAAGCGGTCTTAAACAGCTCAATTAACCCTGGTCATTTAGCGGTCTTAACCCACATTAACCCTAACCCTGGTCCCTGTACTTGTTCTCAATGCACACAAAAAACTTTATTGGATCCACTAGAGCCACTTGTTTTGTTGGATCCACTTTAGATAAAGCGGTCTTAAACAGCTCAATGAAGATTTTTACAGCGCCTCTTATACTGAATCTTATACACTGCCCCCTCCTGTGACAAACAATACTAACTTTACTGGCCAGCCCGTAACAAAACCCCCTCCAACTAACTCCCACCTAATGATCACAACTCCCTTTGTAACCAATCAAATTCCAAATTTGCGTCAAAACTCAAACCTTCCTACTGCAACAAACCCCCCAATTAACCAAGCAAACCCCTTCTGTTCCAAGTTCCTGAACATTTTACAATTACATCCCAGGGAAAGCACCCAAAATTGCAGCCTCATAGTATGAATACTAAATAAACATCGCGATTTTTTACAAAACAAAGTTAAACTTGAAAAATCGAACTCCCTCAGTGGGTCTAAAAATTACAAATATTAGACAGGACCGTACTCCATAAATTAAACATAGTAGAGGACGGAAATTAGGAGGCGCAGTGGGTACTAGTAAAGGACAGCAACCAAAATCTCTGAATCACAAATTTCTAAATCCCGCCCGCTCTAGCTGCCCCGAAGACTTCAAAGCATCCATTTCAGCTTTTTTCGATTAAAACAGTATCGTCCTCGGTGACGCCATTCACCAGTATCCTCTTTGGTACTACAATATCCCCAAAGACCAACAGGGGGCGAGACGCGGAGCCAAAACTATTCAATCTAATTTCACTCCACTAAACAACCATCATCAAATTAGGCTCCCATGCGAAAGCAGCACGTCAGCATCATCCCCAGATTTTTCACCGGCATCACCGCTGATTTTACTAAATCTTAGATGTCAAACAATTTTAAAGCTTGGCTCGAACCATCTCACGATTTTAATTACCTTTCCAATCAAAAAAAGATAAGCCGTTCACTCCCCGCAAAACTTTTAATATATTTTAAAAGGCAGACTGGAAAAGTTAGTCCTATGAAATTTAGATTTAAGCGAAGAAACCAATGCAGCACGTAGTGAACGCCGCAGAACAGACCTGTCGTGACACGATACTTGCTGCAGCACTTCACCTGCAGGCCGGAATCGTTTCCTTAGTCCTATCCTCAATGAAAAAACTTGCTCAACAAAGTTATCAAATCAGAATTCTCAACCCATCCGACCCTCTTTAAGATGTTTCAAACAAAGACATGGCCAAAACTTCTAAAGACAAAGAAAAAAAATCACGAGCATTCCTCCGATTTTTTAATCACAAAACGTCATCCAGTAATTCTGGAAAATAGTCCGGTCCTTGAATGGCAGCAAGTTTTCGACAGGAAGCCACCCTATCAATTTAAATGATAGAAAACAATCTCGACCGGTTGAAATTGCAGAAGTTGAACGTGAATTACACTAAATTGAAAACACACAAGTGATAAAGGTCGTAGAGCAACTAAGAGAGAAGCTATTAAACTTAGCCTCGAAGGCTCACTGCGTTTTACCCTCCTAGAAAAAGAATATCAAAGCGAAAAAGCCCTTAAAAGCATTAAGACCTGACAGTCTATAAACAACCACCTTGAACATATCGGACCAATAGTAATAGCTTTTTAACAAACATTTTTCATCATTCTCACTCTCTGAAGAAAATTCCGCAAATTCGGAAAATATCTCGAGTGGTACCTCTTCCGAAACTAAACCAAGATCCTAAATGTTCTTACTGAACAGAAATCCTCAAATTTCGAGAAAAAAATCTTTAGTGGTACCCCTTCCGAAACCAAACAAAGATCTCAAAAGTTCAGACTCATATCGCCCTGTGTCGATTTTAAGCCGAGCAGTCATACTTAGAACCCTTGATCCTGCCAACCCCAACCAAATTTCTACCCAAAGCCGATCATCAATAAGGCTTTCGCCCGATGCAGTCCACCACCACGGCACTTTCTGCTGTTGAAGTTTTATCAGTGATGGTTTTAATCAACAACGGCCCCCATAATAAGTCAGTCCTCGCCACACTTGATTTATCAAAAACTTTTGACATATTCAGCCTTTGCACCCTCCTGGACCTCCTTTATCGCATCATCGTAGCCGAAAGCCTAACCAAGTTGTCAGACAACCTTAGTGGGCGTCAATCAAAAACTATGTTCACGGACGTTCTGTCACTATCAAGGATTGCTCGTAGAGGCGTCCCAAGGCTCAATCTTATCCCCGAAACTTTTTAATTGTTATGTCCATGACGCTCTTCTATCGCCCCCCTATCGTCCATCAGATGGTTCTCAGACGGTTTTTACTTGTTTTTATTTCAGGTACTTGTTTTTATCATTTGTGAATTCGTTGTGAATCCGCCGATGAAATGGTCTATTTTATTATCATATATTAGTGTGGGGCAAAAAAAGTTGACATTGCCTCGCGCGAAAACTTCCTATCGGTTCATGTGCGAGAGAATAGTAGCGTTGCACGCACAAACTTTTTTCATTATAGTAGATTTTCAATTTTATCTTTTACATTCTAAAGTTGACTCTAGAGGTCAGCATCGACAAACCAATCATTGCACCTTAGTCTAATCCCACACGAAATTTCTGTTTTGAGATCTGCCCTCAGTTAACAATTGCCCGGAAATCTATCAGCGCGTTGACAAGTGTAATGACTCACTGAGTCTGTTGGCTCGCTTGAACATCCTCAACTTGCACTTCGCCTGCTACGCAGTTGCACAACTCATCCAAAAATTCATTTCAGCGTACGTACTCTCGACTCCGCCTCTGTCGGCTTCCTCGTCATCTTTTAAGCAGCCAGTGCCCTGGCTCTAATTTTTGGGGTGCTGGCTCTGATTTTTTTGATCGAAGCTTGCAAAATTCTATACCAGCTTCCAAAGGCGGCTTTCGTCCTCATATCACCTCCAAGAAAGCCGACCAGATAAGGACCGTCTTCGAGTGATTGACCCGACGCGCTGTATAAAATTGACCCGACCCAAAATTTCGCAGAACATTGCAAGCGAACATCCGCAAAAGGCGCGCTCATGATATCGATCCTTAAGGCTTTATCAGGGAATTCATGGGGCCAGTCCAAATAACTTTCATGGTTGATTTTAAAGCTTTGGTACGAACAATTTTAGACCATTTGAGCTCTGTCTGGTCACACCCTGCCAGTGACTAATTCGAACGAATTGCATGCAGTTCAAAATGCTGCTCTCTGGAGAAAGTGAATTTTCAAATGTGGACCACCATCATCATCTGCTGGCGTCGCAGTTCGCCCTCAAAACTTTTGTTCCATCAAATCCGCTACTTTTTTTATCATCACCATCCTAAATCACCAGGGAACAATCACCCTTCGTTGCTTAACTTATACGCCCCTGAAAATGACACTATCCTTTCCGAAACTAATACCCTTACGCTTTTCAGAAAACTTTTGAACGTAGTTCTTTCAACTGTAACAATTTTACATTGCTTCAAAAGCAAATACACACTCAGAGAGTTAGACAGGCCATCTCTCAGATACACCACGCCCAAATGTTCTGCCCTTTAGACCACCTGAAATATCCCCCGACAAAGAATACCGCCTAGTTCCACCAGGAGAACCCTTTCACAGTTGGGATCTGGGTATAGTCCCTTCCTGAATACGTACCTCAACCGAATCGACCCCAACGTACCCCCAAACTGCCTATACTGTCCTTCCACACATACCACTCTTTATCTTACTAACTGTTCTCGGAACACCAATTTTTTAACCCCAATAGACTTGTGGCTTCGTCCGACTGAAGTTGCGACGTTTCTGGGCTGGGTTTGAGCATGCCGGACGCACCGTCTCGGGGCTAAAAACAACAACTAGATAACTTGCCACTCTTGCTCCTTCGACCTACCTCCTTTGAAGCGACCTACCCTCTTTCAATGCCTTCCCTTCAAAGGTCTCTTTCTATAGTCTCAACGTCATTATTGTTAACTTTGTTTTAAAATATTTATACGGTTTCTGATTTGATTGCTTTTTTTATGGATCAAGAACTTTCTTTTTCCACCTAGAAAAAGGGGAGGACGAGAAAACTGAAGTCCCGGCTATGAAAACACAAGACGATCACGCTGAAAACCGCCAAGAGCTAGATAGGGATTAAGATGAGAATCAATCTGCATGAAAGGAGGAGGAACAGGCGCCCATCGTCAGTAAACAAGAACCTCAATAGGACAGCGAAAAAATGAGAACAGGCTATAGAAAGTTCTTTAAAAAGATAACTTAGAATTGTAAGAAGCTTGATAAGGTTAACAACTGAATGCACTCACTGAGCTTACATTCGAGCTAATTTTCTTTAAAAAAAAAAAAAAAATGTTGGCCGAAAAAATTAGCTGTAACTTCTAAACCTCTTGATGGATATGCAGTGCATATTTGAAAATGAGGACAGATTTAATACTACCTGATTAGAGTCAGTTCGAGTTTAGGTCCCCCTCCCTTGATCAATTCTACAACATGACGATGCTCTGCGCCCTGGACATCAACCCCGTTTACAGCGATTATCCGATCACCCTTCTTCACTCCGGCTAAGTCTGCGGCACCATTTTGCATGACCATACTGACATGTTGCAAAGGGGGATAGAGGACTCCATTGATTGACTTCAGTTGACCTCCGGCGCTCACTTGACCTCGAACATTGAATCCGAACCCTGCGTCTCCTTTTTCAATAACAACATCACGTGGTCCACTTTCAACTTGCGGTAGAAACTCGGCCATTTATGCTCATTAGAAAATCTGGAAAATTATATATTTGTCGACAGGATACCAGGATGTTTTATGGAGTATTTCATTCCGCTATTCTTGTCACTAACAAAACAATCAAATGAAAAGTCAAAATTACAAGTGTTTGTTTTGTAATCCAAATACCTTACTTTCAGGAAAGTTTATTAGATAACCAAAAAGTAGAAGAGTTATATCGCCTCCTTCTCAATAGCTTCAAAAACTCTTTTCCTTAATGATTCATGGATTTCCGAATTAGCATTTCCAGACACAGACAACTCTGCTAGCTTTGGAGCTATACAATTTCGATAGCTGTCAAAATACGACGAACAGGGATCATTATTAGTGGAATTTCTGAGAAAATTAGTTGCAAACCAATCATTGAAACATTTTTCATAAGCCCACTTCAATTTATTACACTTCGCATCAACACTGTTCATTATTTTATCTAGAAACAAAAAATGGATCCTTCAACTTCCGAAAAAAAAACATAAATGACGAAAAATTCTAAATTGTCTGCAAACCTAAATTTCAGAAAAACTCTCAATTACAACAGAGGCCCTTCCGTTTAGTTACGGTAAGTGCACAATCCAAATTTCAGAAAAAAAACCATCACAACTTTACTTCTTGGCCAGATAATAATGACGCAAATATTTGAAAGACATCAATGATTTTTTTTGGTTACGAAGCAGTATTTGGACAACTGCGTATTCATACTCGTCAGTAAGCAGGCAAATGCTATACTGACCAATCAGAATCGAGACAAGGAAGAAATTAATAAATAACTGGCTCGTGACGCACCTGCGGTGCATCTGATTTTTGACAACTCGCATATATTGGATAAGCGATCTGCATCTTATGAGTGTACTCTGACAGCACCCAATGAAAGGGTTGGTAATTTCAAGTTTTGTTAAATTTTTATATTCAAGTTTTTCTTTATTCAAGTTTCGGAAAAATTTAGTGAAGTTTTTTATATCAAAGCTATATGAACAATTTCAAAATTGAAATAAAAAAACTCATCTCGGAAACTAAAAGCAATTGAGGACTCGCAAATGGGCACAAGATTTGCAGCTGTTGAGAGTATTCTCCCAGTACCCAAGAGCGTTGAAAATTTCAAACTATGCGAACATACATAGGTACACAGAAAGTTTCTGATCTATAGGCTTCTCAGCCTCTGTCGATCATCTCCTTCTGTGGACGTCCAATTATTCATTCGAGAAAGGATATCATATATGACTTTTCCCAGTGTTTATCCAGCCTCGATTCGAACAAGTTGAGGTGAACATTGAAAATAACAGACTCTGATAAGGGGTTCCAGTCGTTTAAGACTGCAGTAGTGAAGAAACTACTCTCTAAGCAAGTTAGTGATTTTCTTGTTAACAATTTGCACAGGTTTTCACGAGAATTCCTTTCATTAATTGTAAACATTCCTTCAGTTGCTGTTACATCATAAACACAGTCCGAGATTTTGTACACTTCTATCATACGCCCACGCTTTCCTTTGTACTCCAGGGTATTGAGCTTCAAAATTTTCAATCTTTCAAAGAAAGCTAATTTGCATAAGCTTGCGATTAATCTGGTTGCCCTCCGCTGAACAATTTCAATCGCTACTTTGTCTTTTCTCATAATTTGGTTTCACGACTGATTTGCGTATTCCAGATGCTGATTCACCAAGGTTTTGTAGAGAGTCGCCAATCTTTCCTCCGTTAACTTCAAAAATTGTTTCTTCATAATTGCAACCAAATTATTAGCTAATTTTGTTTCTTAGCAATATGTATTGGAAAAAATTTTTTGGAGTCGATGATGACCCCCAGGTTTTTCTCGTTTTCTCATTTTTCTTTGCTCAAAGTCTTTTGCCATATTGTGTATAATTTTTTTCTGTTGTTTTCATTTTGATAGGTTAAATTTCATTAATTTTTTATTGGAACACATTGAAAGTCCATTGGAACACATTCAGATCAGTCTGCAGTTCGTCTCTTTCTTCATCGGTTAAAATTGTTCTGTAAATTTTTGCACCATCTGCTTAAAGAAACATGTTTCAAGTGACTCCGTGTGTTAGGCTGACTGGTCTATATTTATTTGGATCGTTCTTTGAGTCCTTCTTATGTATCGTTATGACATTTGCACGTCTCCAATCCCGAGGAGTTGCATCATTTCCCATAACTACCCAAGTTCCCATTATTTTTGAACTTTTATACTCAATGTTTTGGCTATTTTTTTCGAGTTTCAAAAAAATCTGTGCGTGCTCATTATCTAGTTCAATTGATTTTGTGTCTATTTCAGAGAGTTCTTTCAAAGTTATTTCTTCAGTGAGGAAAAATTCATCTGATATTTGATTTTCTTGAGTTTCTACAACGTCCCAGTTGCCTGGAGTTTCTATAGTAAAAAATGATTTGAAAAAGTTTGATAGGGTCTCAGCTTTGTCCTATTTATACCCTCTGATACCTGTGACATTTGACCAGAATGTGAAAAATGCAATCTCTGCAGAATTCGAAATTTTAGCAGCGAGCCTTCCGGTGTGCCAGTCGGTCATATTTGGAAGTTTGACCTTGAGAAAAGCAAGAGCACTTAATTTTGGAGTGAAATTTAATTTTTCAAAAACTCGAATGGAGCCTGTCATGCACGATTTTCTCGCGATAACTGAAACCGAAAAAGAGAAATCAGAACAATCGAGTAACAATCGCGGGAAAGTTGCTAGATAAAACACTGGGAAATTGCTATTCGCAATTTCTGTCACAATAGAACGAGAGCAGAGCTGTCCCATCTGAAACATAGACAAGCGTATTCCCGAGAACTGGATTGTCATCACTCGACTGGATTATTATTTGAACTGAACTAGAGTGAACCTTCGGTGGAAAGGTGGACAGCTTGAGTGTCCCAATGGTTCACGAGAAACTACATTCTAGAGTTAAAACTTGTCCTTGTCATTGAAACTGATAAACATTAAAACTCATTTAGTTACATTATTTAATTCTCGAGTTGATTACCGACTGAAGTACTTCCCTTTCTTGAGCGTGCTACGATGTGAGTACTTAATTTAAATTTCTAGAGTGTGTTTTATGATTGTAATGTTGAGGTAATGCGAGTTTTAGGTTGATCCATCTGAAATGGATCAAAGTTCCACTGTCTAATAAAAAGTAACTTAACGGATTGTTCCGACCCGGTTTTTAACGGCGTTCATGTATTTTGGGTATCTAGAGACCTAAGTATGGGGACGTTATTATTTCTAGAGTGGGGGGGATATTTTGGTAGTAGCCTTTAAGCTGTAACGGGTCGTAGTCTCATGTCACAAGCGAACCGAATTGGCTCCGACTGACTTGAGGTAGAAAAACACAAGAGATAGTGTCCCTGACTCTTGAGCCAATGCTTATAGGGCCTATTTTTCTTAAGCCTCATGTGTGACTACAGTAGACGAATGTTACAAGGATTGGTGATTATTAAGGATTAAGAACGTTATTTGAACGATTGAACAAAACGTGAAGGTTGAAGGATTCGGAAATTGCTAATTTTTTTTAAATTTTTGAAGTGATTACGTAACATTTCTGAGAAACCTCAGAAACGGCCATTTTGGCAAAAAGGTCGAAGAAATACACAACAACATTAGTTGCACTGACGAAAACAACGAAGATTGTGAGAGAAAAACAACAGAGAAAAACAGAAGAACGTTCCGAGTTGCAACTATTTTGTAGCTGCAATAGTTGCAAGGCCGTTGCAGACAACGGTAAAGGGTGGATGACAGCCTTCCGGATTACGAAGAAATTAAGATTAACGAGCTTGATTCAGTGGATTCAAGAATCCGGAAGGGTTTCGGAACTGAGACTTTTATCCTTTTATATAGACTTTTAGCTTCTTGTTATGTCCTGAGTTGAATTTAATTAACAACTAGATCCATTTTGATAAGGATGAGAAGCTAGGAGTTTGGGGAAAGGGTTGATCCATCTTCGATGGAGATGATGATTTTTATCTACTGAACAAAAACAATAGTAAGATAATAAATAGTAGTAGCCCTGTTTTTAGGAGTGACCTCGTGGTCTGAGCATACTGAGACCCAGCCATGAGCTCACTATTCCTGCATGTAATTAAGTTAATTTGAGTGTTTTGACCGAAGCCGAAAGCAGTAACGTTTTTGTCGACCCGATGTTAGAAAAGACCACCGAAAGTACTGGCTTGGTAGAGACGGTGAAAAGCATGCAAAGCTCTGTTTAGACGTTAGCCAGTCGTCTTAGGACTTAGTTTTGTTTTTCGTCGATATGTATCTTCGGGGCAAATGTTACATACATGTTTTTATGGCGCTCCTGGCTGTTATTCTTTTTTAACATCATGACCGACAGAACCGTTAACGAGCACTCCGCGCCGAGCGGATGCTCACATTAACGCCCTTAATAGGCCTAAACCGTCGGGGCGGAAGGGTGGTTCGGAACGCGGAAGCCTTCCGGATTACCGTGAATAGCTTTTTAACCTAGTTAAGACCGAAAATTCACGAATCAGGAAGGGTGGGGGGATCGGCCATTCCCTCGTTCCCTGAGAGGTTTGTGACCAAAAACACTTAAAGATATATATAAAACCAAACAAAAAGTAGTATAGTACCCAAGAAAAACAAAAAACATAAAAAATAACCGAAAAAACCAAAAACAGTAAAAAAAGTAAAAAATCAGTAGAAATCATCCCCCCAGACAAGATGTGATCCGACCCCCCCGTTTGTTATTGATAGATATATTGTTGTTACAGGCATTTATATCAGTCAGGATTGTTACGATCAGTTTTGTAGCCCGTTTGTGAGGCTTGTACTGTAGAGTTATTTGAGCATTTAAGCACGTTAATGATAAATTGCGCTCAATCCGGAAGGGTCAGCTGATTTGCGCTCAATTCGGAGAGGTCTTGGGAGAAGACTGATCCGGCAAGCAGTACAAGGAGCAACAAGAAGGGGCTCAACGACGACAACAATCGACTGTTGGGTATCGTTAACAAGTTTTGTATCCCTTTTGGTACAAAAATTAAGATAGTAATCTGTGGGGGGCTCGACAGTGCTGCACTGTAGTGACC